CACCCTCACCCTCACCCCGACCGCCAAAATTCTCTGGGCCACAGGTCTTCCGGAAGTTGCCAATCCCGGTAGCTGCAGCGTCCGGCTGGGGTCTTTCTTAGGGGACTCGGGGTTCTGCTTTCTGACTCCCTCCGGACTCTCCGCCTGCGCAGGAAGCGATTTGGGGGTATTGTGAATTCCGAGGGCCCCACACTTAAGAGGTTGTACTCTCACCTGTCTACCTGGACTCCAATTTCCATATTTCCAGTCACTTCAGGACTGAGAGATGGATGATAAACCCTGTCATAGTGGAGCAAGTTCAGGTGTTTAACCGCTGTTATGTGGGATCTGCCTTTCTCCCTCTTCTTTCTTACTTCCGTAAGTATACATATGCAGAGAGTGAAAAATAACCTTGAGAGAGGCCATCCCTCTGACTCCAGGTAAGACTGCAAATAATTCTTTCTTATAAATCTGGGAGGAATGCAGTCAGTGTTTCATGCCAACCAAAAAAGACTGCAAACGTTTTTCCATCTTGCTGCTTTGAACACCTTTCTACTTAGGTGAGTATTTTGTAAGATATGAGTGCAAATGTTATATCCAATACCAAGTCCATACTAGATGTTTAATTAATTCCAGGGCTTCAGTAATAAGGAATGACTCGAACAGATTTCTGCCTACAGACAGCTAATGCGTCTCGTATTTTTGCATTACCTGAAATGAAAGTAGCAATGTTAGGTTTTACAATAGTGGAAGGTTGTAAACGATAGTGTGTTAAAAATTTTTGATCATTTATAATAAAATGTTCAGCACTAAATATATGGTCTGATGCTCTGTGCTTTCTTGCTTAATACACTTTTTTTTTGTTTTTTTTCTTTTCGAGAGAGAGTCTTGCTCTGCCACCTAGGCTAGAGTGTAGTGGTGCAATCTCAGCTCATTGCAACCTCCGCCTCCCTGGTTCAAGCAATTCCCCTGCCTCAGCCTCCCAAGTAGCTCGGATTACAGGCGCCCGGCCCCCAGCTAATTTTTGTATTTTTAGTAGAGACAGGGTTTCACCATGTTGGCCAAGGTGGTCTCAAACTCCTGACCTCGTGGTCCGCCCACCTTGTCCTCCCAAAGTGCTGGGAGTAGAGGCCTGAGCCACCGGCCAATAAGCTTTTTTCTTAAAAAGTACTCAGAAAACTTTCCTATCCATTCATTCTGTTATGCGCGTCAGTGTGAAGAGACCACCAAACAGGCTTTGTGTGAGCAATAAAGCTTTTTAATCACCTGGGTGCAGGCCGACTTAGTCCGAAAAAGGAGTCAGCAAAGGGAGATAGGGGTGGGGCAGTCTTTATAGGATTTGGGTAGGTAGTGGAAAGTTACAGTTAAAGGGGGCTTTTCTCTTGCAGGCAAGGGCGGGGGTCACAAGGTGCTCAGTGGGGAGCTCCTGAGATTCCTTGTCTAGGAGAAGGAGTGTCACAAGGTCAATTGATCAGTTAGGGTGGGGCAGGAACAAATCACAATGGTGGAATGTCATCAGTTATGGCGGGAATTGGCTATTTTCACTTTTGTGGTTCTTCAGTTGCTTCAGGCCATCTGGATGTATACGTGCAGGTCACAGGGGATATGATGGCATAGCTTGGGCTCAGAGGCCTGACATATTTATCCAGTCAATTAATTAAAAACATGAGTCCTAGAAAAAGAGAACAAAGCATAAACAGAGAAGAAATGATCAAAATAATAGTTTAAAAAATTTTGCCAGGGCAGGTGTCTTCGTATTTAAAGGGCCCACCAAGTAAAAATACCTACATTAAAGCACATCATTAAAAAGGTGAGAACATTAAGAATAAAGGGAAGATTCTAAACGTTTTCAAAGGGCAGAAACAAAAATTAAAGGAATGGGAATTAGAATGGCATTGGATTTCTTAACAATGTTACTAAGTCATTGTTATCCTAAAATATAATGAAGTGAAATTTTTTCAGTATTCTAAAGGACAGTAACTTCCAACTTAGAATTCTATAGTCAAACTATCTGTCAAATATAAGGGCAGAATAAAAACATTTTCACATATACAAAGATGAAATACTTTCATTCCATTTCCTTTTTTTTTTTTTAAAGAAATCTCTTAGAGAATGTGTTCAGCAAAACATGGGAGTAGGCCTAAAAAAAGAAAGACATGGGATCCAGAAAACAGGACCAGGAAATTAAGAAGGGAAACTCCAGAATGGAGAAATATGACAGAATTGGAGAGCAACCCGTTTTCACTGAACAGGGAGATGGCAGACTTTAAGAGAAAACAGTAGTTACAGTAATTGAAATGATAGATTATCTAATTTGAGTATTTGAGAAATTATATAGATGTTGGATAGATCTAATGAAATCTGGGATAAAATTGGAGAATGAATTGTAAAAAAATACAAGTAAAAAGAAGGAGACAATTGTTAATTCCATGAAAATTATATCAGAAGGGAAAAAACATTTCTCTACACTGTTTTGTGGTGGTGAAAAATGTAGAACTTTTCAGAGCTTTTCAAATGCTAATACACATCTCTAAGAAGGAGAGAACATGAAGCATAGAACTTTATGGAATTTATTTGTATTGTTAATTACATTAGTTTTAAATTTACTTTTTAAAACCATATTCACGTGGTTTAAAATTTAAAACAATAAGGACTTACAATGCAATGGAAAAATTGAGAAGAGGACTTAGATACCTTGAAAAAGAGGTGAAAGGCGCTCAACCTCATTCATTATCAGGGAATCACAAATTTTATTCACAGTGCAACACTACTGTCCAAATAGTAGAAAGAATAAAATTAAAAAGACAGAATATACCAAGTGCGAGTGAGGATTTGGAGCAACAGGAACTCTTATACACTGCTCATGGGAGTGTTGATTGATACAATCAATTTTGTAAATTGTATGTCAGTATCTATTAAAACTGTAGATATGAAGACCCCATGACCCAGTAATTCCTTGCTTCGGTATGTGGACATGTGTATGCATCTACTAGAATGTTCATAGCAGTGGTGTTTATAATAGTCTCAATCTGGAAATTACCCAGATATCCATAAATAGTAGAATACATAAATAAATTTTGGCACATTTATGCAATGTAATACTAAATTGGAATGAAATTAAACAGTGTACAAATATAATGTTGGATGAAAAAAGCCAGATATGGAAGAGTACATATTGCATGAATTCATTTGTATAAAGTACAAAAATAAATAAAACTAACTTATGCTTATAGAAATCTTCTCTCTAGTAGGGGAGAGGCATTGATTAGAAGGGAATGATGAGGTATCTGGGATGATGGCAATGTTCTATTTTTTTATTCAGGACCTAGGATCTAGATGCCAGTTGCATGGGTGTGCTCAGTTTATAAAAATTCTTGGAGATTACACTCACATTCACTCTTATACTTCAATAAAAAGTTAATTGGTTTAAATATAAA